TGCCCGGGGGGGGGGGGGAGTGGAAGCGAATTGAAGCGCGAGAGCGGAAGGGAGATCTCGCTCGGGATTATTAATGCCGTTAACGTTATTATCGAATACTCTCTTTCCGCAGGATGCTTTTATCTTTTAAGACCCCGGGGTATCTTTTTTAAGTGGTACGGAAATGATTCCATGAGTGCGGACGTGGGACGAAGAGAAGGTCAACCGCTCTACGTGCCTTCCTCTCTTTCACATGGCGCGCGCCATTGATAATTTATAATAAAATTAGATTTTAAATTAAGATCTCGCGTACTCTTTTATATCGTTTTACCAACGTGACGGGGGAACAATGTTGACTACCGCGTGTAAACATATTGATGTTTTCCTCGTGGAGAATTTTTCACTGTATTTCAGGAGCCATCTACTGGCAAGTGACGCGAATTAAAGAATGAAAGACGGTGGCCGGTTAGCCTCTGGTAGGCACACGTTAAGGCACACGCCAGGCTTAACGGTAGGTAACTTAAGCTCGCGTTCCCGTATTTCGTGTCATTAAGGCGAGATGGCGACTAACTTCAATCTACCGCCGCGGCAACGTGATGAAATCACCCGTCAGTAATTCCATCTCGGGGATTCCGCGATGCTCCGGCGTCGTTGAAAAATGGCATCGTACTTCCCCGAGAGATATAACGCCGGGGAACGTCAACAAAGTGAAGAAGCGCAGATCCCGACACAGACGGAAAGGCCGAAACCGTCGAGGAGGAAATTCGCGACCACTGGCGAAGATTACGCCGCCGAACGGCACAAGAGTCGTTTACCGCAATCGCTTCTCCGTGCTTATCAACGTTCCGTTTTCCGTCCTGCCTTTTCCAACTAATTCCTCACGGGACTCGGATTTCTGTAAGATAAAGGAAAATATGATTATCTTTCGCGAAACATAAATATAATTATACAGGGTGTCCATCGTTAAGTGGAACGTCCGTCAAACTTGTAGTTTAGGTCAAAGTGAGCAAAAACTATTGAAAACTGCCGTGTGTGGGAGCTTCGTTGATTAATAACTCAAAAATTATTTGCAAAACGGTAGAGGACTTTTTCGTTCACAGTGACCTAATCTACTAACATTATACGACGGATATTCCACTTAGCGGCGGACACCCTATATGCAATGTACAAAGTAATATATGCAAATAGAGTGTCGAGGGAAGACGATGAAGCGTGAATACAGGCGAAATACTTGAAATAAATACGCGACAAGACGGAGAAATGGAGAGAAGCGGAAAGAGACGCGAGAGAAAAGAAACGTCTAATTCGTATCAATCTCGCGAACAAGTGTCGAATGTATATTTGACTCCTCCCTCGGATGAGCCGCCCGAAGACATCCTCTGCGAGTGATTCACGCATAATAGTTCCGAGATCTCTTCTCGCGTACCGCCTCATGTATATTCACGGGGTCGCGATTTTCCGCACGTTTCCTTCGCTTAACCGCCGGTAATACGAGAAGCGCGGACGACCTTACAATCGAATCAGATTGGCTGATTGCTGCCGAGCTGAGAATTCGATGATGACCCACGTGCGACGAGGTGACTGCGGCGGCGGCGAAGACGACGGACGGACGGCGATGATGATGACGATGATGACAGCAATTCTTCCTCCTCTCGTAAAGTGTGTCACGCGCGACGCCGCGAAATGATGATAATCGCGTCGGCATCGCGCAGGAAGGTCTCGGATACTTCTTTTCCCTGATGCCTAGAAGGCTACGGCATTGACCTGCCTGAAAACCCATGCGAGCCGCGATCGCCACCGCGATCGTGCCCCCCCCCTTCCCCCCTCACCGAGCGCGAAAGATGCGCTCGTGCCGAAAGACGCGACAAGCGCTCGTAAATAGCGAGAAGAAATACGACGACCGAGACTGATTGAAATATGATTATGTAGGTGAAGGACAAGGACGCGACCAAGTGAAACGTCGTCGTCGGGCTTTCGCGACGAATCGTTAAAAATAATTAACAAAAAAGGACGGATCTCTCCGAACTGTGCGCGCTCGGAATTGATTTCAATGACGTTGCTGCCCCGAGAATCGGAGTCACGAGTCTCCTCCCTCCGTCCGATAGGAATACGGTTTCTCTCGGAGGCAGCGAAAAATACGCTCGACGTCTTTATTGTGGGAGGTTTTATTGTGAAAAGATTAAAGGGAAATCGAATCCGATCAGACACCGGTGTTTCGCGTGTCCCCCGACGTCACGGTATTGAAATGGTGCGCGGCTGGCGCGATAACAATATATTTCGAAACGGTATTTCGCGACAAGCGGGGGATGGTGGTCGTTGAAAAATTTCCCGCCGCCGGTAGTTTTATTTAGATTGCAAATATTCGCCGAAAAATACCGCATACGGGCGCGTTGAATTATCTTCGCGTGCGCGAAAAATGGCGCGAAAGCGCAAAACCGCGTTGCTCTGGATACATTTCGCCCCGGCCGGCTAACTCTCTCGTAATTGTGCGATAATTTATGCTCGGCGCGCGCTCACTTCGGTCGGTTGAATTTCTGGCAACTGTTTACCGAGGAAGCGGCTACCGGTATCGATGAGATTCATCTAATTCTTATCTATCTCAGCCGGCGTGCACACACATCGCGTTTTATCCGGATAGCGTGCGCGCCAGTTTCTTATCTCACGGCTGCACGACGTTGGTAATCGTCATTTATCGTGCGCATATAGTTAAATAAAAGACAGCCTTGATAATGGTAACACCGAGCCGGGATTTATTCCGTCGTATCGTCGCCAATCGCGACTTTTCGTTACGACTCGCGACTTTTACGACGCGATTGTTATTACGCGCGCCCATCAGCGCGCGTGACGTTTCAGGAAGAGAAAGATTCGATCAAACTTCCGTCTACACCTGCGTCACGAATTATCCATAACAATAACATTTATCGGCGTGCACGCGCGTAAATGCGAAGCGCATATAGGAAAAAGTCAGCTGATGCTCTTATCTGCGCGATTTCCGTGTACACGGCGATCCACGGAGTACAGCGGTGAAACCGAGGCGAAAACACCGATGCGGATGATAATTCATAATTTCAGTTATCACGTTTCCATTAACGGAGGATGCCTATACGTCGGCCGAATATCATTCCTCGTAGTTATCACTTTAACTCTCATCCACGACGCAAAATTGCACTTTCACGAATTGACAATTTGCATGACAAATGAGCCCGGCTCGCTTTTCCGGATTTACCCGTTTTCCGATGAGGGGGGGAGGGGGGAGCAGAAGCTTCGCACAGATCTGACTTCCCGACGCCCTCGAGAGAAGAGAGGATCGTCTTATCGGCGCGCGTGTCGAACAAGCGACTTCGGCAGATAGTCAAGTGAATTAATAAAGAAGAAGAAGAGGCGTGACACGACGGAAGATACGCGCTCACGCATGAGTATGCCCTGGATTTGTCGAAGGAGGTGGGAGCACCTGCTACCGCTGCTACTACGAACACGCCGAGAAAGCACGCGATATATTAGTCTCTGTCGGACGTACTCGCGGGATCGGCGAGGCGTCGCGCTGCAGCGGTATTTTCGAACATCGTCCCCGGAGCTCGCGATCCACGAATCGGCCCGACGGTGATCCACATGGCAGGACACACGGTACGTGATCGAACGGCACACCGATTCCGTCGGAATTTTCCCACGCGTCTCCTTTGCTTTTCTCTCTCTCTCTCTCTCTCTCTCTCTCCTTTCTTCCCTTTTATTCTTTCTCGATCATTTTTCGCGACACACTCGCGCGGGACGAGCGAATTCGCGGAGCGACGAGAGAGAACTTCGAAGCGGTGTCTCCGCCGGGGTAACTTCGTTTCGTTTTTTTTTCCGGATCTTAGGGAGAAAATTTCGTTCGTTTCTCGCGCAGCAATGAAGACAGCGTGACCTTACGTGAACGATTTTATGTGGCCGTCGACTTATCAACGGGTTCTTGCAGACTGTACAATCGGCGTCGTATATGCTAAGTTGAAACTTTCCGTTATCACACGACTTTTAGCATCTCGTATGCGCACATATGGTCGGAGCTATTGTTAACAAAGAAGATCCTTTCAATCAGGCTTATAAGAGTCTGAGCACATTAATATAGTTAATATCAATATTCTTTGTTGGTGAAAGATACCCGTTAGTCGTGCATTAACACTTTCGCTGCCGATCTCGCGCCAGCGCGTGATACGGCGTCAACGTTACAGAGCCAATCAAGTGCCAGCGCGGGGTGCGGGGTGATGTATTAGTAGCCAGTCACACGTTCGACTAACTATCAACACATCCTCACGTGACCGGTAACTAATGTGTTATATAAATATTACTTGAATGTGTGTAGCACTTTTTCAGCCCGGCAGTCAACGTGTTAAACGTACGTCCGGACGTATATTTAATAATACACGACTAACAGGTGTTCTTAATATATTAATATATATTAATATTAAAATCGAACAGAGATACCCGTGTTTAGACTCATTTAGACCCAATTAAAATGATCTCCTTCCCCCGGTGAATTTCAAACAGAAGTCGTTCTTAAAGAAAATTATTATAATTAGAGCCATTATGATTCTACCATTGTAACTGGAGTCGCCTCTGGAATTTTCAACCTTATGCGTTATGTATGAGGCGAAAAATCGTGCGACTCTCCGTCCAGATAATAGTAGCAGTAGTACAGCACATATATAATAATAATAATAATAACACGACGCGGACCGTGCATCCCGGTGTCTCGTCGATTCGATTGAACTTCTTAGAAAGATTTACACCGCTCGCCGATTGAAAATTAACTCGACACCGCTCATAAATAAATATCCACATTCGTCTGCGGATAGCGATAGATTTAGCGCCGGCTGCGGAATCGATCGATGTCCAGTCGAAATCTTGCGAACTGCTTTATTTTCGTAAAGGGCGATCCGCGTGATTCCCTCGCGGCGACCTCGCGATAAAAGCGCGACAACCTCGCTCATTACCACTAACCGCTGCTTTATCGCTGCGAAACTACCGCTGCATATTACATCATTTAGCACGGGTCACCGTATAACCTTAAAGCATACGTACCGTTCCAAGCACGCGACGAGTATTTTCTCATCGATCACGGCCGCGGATCGCGTAAACTCCGGGGGCCATCCCCAATACGCGACACGTATTCGCGTCGGATTTTTCCCACCGCGGAGTTTGTGATTCTAAGGATTCTAAAAAGGAAGCCCGGAGAGCCGTACAGAGTTCGTCCGGCCACCCTGCGCACCTTCCCCAACTTCGCGTCGATTCGCCCCCGCGATGCGCTTAAAAGGGCCAGCTGCGAGAATAAGTATCGACTTGTCGGAACTCTCGATCTTCCATCCGGAAAGGCTTTTATCTGACTTGCTTCTGTTTCGATTTCATTCATGGGACGGGCGCAACGTCCCGACATATCGAATCGATAAGTTCGTGAGAGCACTCTTCGTGCGCGGATGTGCGCGCGCCATCGATGGAAAAGTTTCGAGGGTCAGAACTGCCTCGATTTATCGCCTCTCGCCTCAGCTCTTACGGAGTCACGCACTCTTTCGCCCATCATTGGATATTTCCGTGTGTTACGGTGGGACGACGCGCTCGAAATATTAGCCTATCGCAGCGATAAGTCATTTTTAAGATCGATCCTTCGGTTAAGAAGCGATTTCAGTCCGGATCGCTCGGTGACAGCTGACTCTACTTTCGACCAACCCGTGTTACCTTGCGCCTCTCTCCGAAGGATAGGATCGTGATTTCTAAGGAGGAGCTCTAACCTCTCGAATTAATTAGTTACGTCGACCGTTCTCATTAGTTAGTTCGCGGAAAGAAGTCGGACGGAGGGAGCGCCGCCTTTTCTTAATAGGAATCGCTCGACCGTTTCTCAGCCGCGGACGCGAAGTCTCGGAGGTAAAAGAAATAGAAAATGATGTCGCTTCCGATAAAGATAATGTTTATAGGCTAGAAGAAATGACAATATCTCCCTGAGCGGCGGAACTTTTCACCGGACGTCGGACCGAGGAGCAAGAACAGTGCGCGAAAAGGTGCTTTACGAGCGTAATTGGAAGTTTCCGCGACGACAGTAATTTCAGTGACTTTTTATCGGTCTTCGGCCTTGGCTCGGGCCATTATCGAGGCATTTTCAGTACCTTCGCCGAATCATTCCCCGATGTCACGTTCGCGACATTCCCGTCCACGCTTGTCGATCCTTCTCGTCGCTCTTCTCGCTGTCATACGCTATTTTCGAATCTCCTTATCCATTACGCTCCCTCCTACTCTCAAAGTTCCGGACCCGTACGGATACGATCGCGATAAGAGGAAGATAGCCGCGTACAACGCGGACAATGTAAGGACTGACAATTACGTCGGCAACACCGTGCATTTGACACAACATCAAATCCTTTCAGGTTCTCCCACTTTTGGCGCTGTTCAGCTGTCTGTTCGTCATCGGGCAAACACGAACAGGTTTGTTCGCGCTTAATCACCAATCCCCGAATTATCTAACGCGGAACGATCCGTACTCACGTAATCAATAATTGGAAAATCTGTAATCTCATCAAATTTCACTTTACCCGTTGTTGATTTTGAAATACGAGCACCGCCGATTTCGCGCGAGTCATTCACATATTTCGCGATTTATCCATCTGCATAGTCTCGCGCGTCGACGAAAGCAGCATCGATGTTCCCGTTTACAAGGATTCCGATGTAAAAAAGCCGTTCCTCTTGGAGGAGATTTATTTCCACTTCTACACACCGTTCGGCTTCAACGGCACGTGGATCTCCGACGATGAAATCTTAATGGAGAACACGATTCTCGGCGATATCACCAAGTACAACGTAATGACCGGGGAGACGACAACGATGTTCGACGGGAAGAACTTACCGGTGAGGATGCACACACGTTTCACGCCTATGCGATTTATCGCGAAGTGGATATTAATTTGATTCGCGGGACTTCGATCTGCGAGCGATACTTCGTCACCGTAGAGAGATCACGGCGGGAGTTCAAATAACGCGTTAATTCTGCGAGTCGTGTAAACGCCATTTTACGATGAGTTATTTCACACTTTCGACATTTTCGGGGCGAAAACTACTCGTAACAATTTGCACCGAAAACGATGTTTTGATCGTTCGCAGAGTAAAATCGATATCCCGACGAGCCAAGAGTCCCAGATTCACGTAACCGATATTTTCGATAGGCATCGACTCGTTAACGTTGTTTCAGCTGGAATACAAATTCGGTTCGGGAACTTTCTCACCCGACAAACAGAACATTCTCTTTACTTACAACGTCAAACACGTGAGTGATCTATTACCTGATAATAATAACAATTTTTCGCTCGCTGTAAACACGAGCGGAAAATAAAGGCGAAGTTTTCTTTTTACAGGTGTTCAGGCACTCGAAGATCATGAGTATCGTGGTGTATGACGTGAAACGGGGGTAAGTTTATTTAAGTTTTTATGTTCACGCACGTATTATCGATAATATTAACGGCTTCATAATACATTTGATTGCGAAAGCATGCGCGGCACACAGCCCAGATAACACTATGGACGTGATTGAATTATCATTTCGTGATAAAAACTGATCTTAGATTTTCCCCCTGACACATCGGAATCTAATTGGGTCACGCGTGACAAATAATTATTCGAATTTTACGCTATAACGCTCTCTCACATCTTCATCGAATAAACGTAAACAAACATCCTACTATTCCCGAGGTATAACCTTTACGAAGAAGTCGCGTCGCGAAATGTCGAATTTTTCATCTTGATTAACTATTAATGCAAACAATTTCGACGTGACATTTCACTTGCTACTATTTTGCAGCACGTTCGAAAAGGTCGCGAACGAATCCCGTGTCTTGCTGGCGAAGTGGTTGCCGAACGGCAACGGATTGGTCTACGTTCGCAATAACGACATTTATCACGCGGTTTTCAAGGACGGCAAGAGCATAGTGCGAAGACTGACGAAGAGCGGCAAATCCGGAATTGTGTTCAACGGAATTTCAGACTGGGTGTATGAAGGTAAAGGCATCTCGACGTAACGGCGCTCTCGAGACCGCGGGACATGTCGCGTGATACACTCGTCCACGTCGAACAACGAGCGAATGAATCGCGAATAATCGCGATAATATGTTGATCACAGAGGAAGTATACGCTTCGTCGACCGCGATGTGGCATTCGCCGCATGGACGGTATCTGGCCTTCGCAACCTTCAACGACACTCAAGTGAGGGATATGGAGTATTCCCATTACGGCGTGCCCGGTTCTCTTAGGGACCAATACCCCACGCAAGTGAAGCTCAAGTATCCCAAGGTGAGAGAGAGAGAGAGAGAGAGAGAAAGAGAGAGAGAGAGAGAGAGATCTTGGCTTGCAGACAGCGCCTCTAAATTCGGATACTCGATATAAATACAGAGTGTTCCGTGAATAAACCGACAACATTTCGCCAGTATATTCGGGGAGTCCTTCTGAACAAAAAATATTATACAAACAATGGGTAAGTTCAGCTCCGTTATCGAGATATGGAAGATGCATTGATATAAACCGCAAATAATCGGAGGCGTTCAAGTTAGCTTAACATTTGCTTAATTATTTAAAAATTGTGTGAAATTGCAACATCGGCAAGATCATTGCTAATACTAACAGCGGCTTCATTGATGCTTATTATCAGCTTCTCATATGTTTTCCATTTAAGTACACCCTCGATTCTGTGCGACCCCATGGAAAAAGATCTGAAGAGGATAGATCGGGTGGCTGTGAGGGCCATTATCTCGATAACGGAACTGAATCGATCCATTGTTTATATAACAGTTTTTGTTGAGCATAATCTCCCAAGTATGCTGGCGAGGTTCGTCGATTTATTCGCGGATTGCACCCTGTATAATAGATATTTTGGACGGTACGGGGCACGCGACTGTAATCGGCCGGCCGCTCGGCGAAATCGGTTACCGCCGTGACAACGCTGAAAGGACCGTAGTTCTCTCGTTTAACTCGAGCTTACTCTACAGTGGATCTCCATTTTCCCCGCGTGCCGTGTCGACACGTGCGGGTAATCCAATTGTCGAAGTGCACCGGCGGTGCAAGAGCGGCTTTCCGTGGGAAAAGCCGCGACTATTTCCCGCGTTTTTGTTAGATTTCCGTCTCTCGGGAGAACACCGGCGACAAACCGAGGTGGCTCTTTTATCTTTTCGGCCCTTAATTCCAACTGTTGACTCCCTCTCTCTCTCTCTCTCTCTTTCTCCCGGTTTAAACACCGTCGTTACGCCAGACAACGAGCGATTAATTCCGGCGCGACGTCCAATTATTCAATCACACGTTATCGGCATACCGTCCTCCCGAGTCTCGCGATATCGCGCAATTTACAATACCGTGTGCATCGATAACGTTATTCCGTCATCTCTCGGATGAATTTCGCAGGTGGGCACGCCGAATCCGATAGTGTCCTTGTCGGTGATCGATCTGACCGATCCATCGTCGGAGGCGGTCACGTTAGAAGCGCCCGTCCACGTGGTCGGCAGGTAAGTAGTTTCCGTGAGAATTTTCACGTGGTTAACGTCTTCCCCTAATTTCCGAATCTCGATCGCAGCGACAACATCCTGTATACCGTGAGCTGGTGGAACCTGACGCACGTGACCGCAACGTGGACGAACCGCGTGCAGAATCAATCCCAGCTGGTGATGTACGATGCGCAGGGCACCGCTAAGCTTGTTTGGTACGACGAGGAGAGGGAAGGCTGGCTTCAGCCGAACAGCCCTGTGAAAGTCGGCAATTACGCGTTGCTCCTACGCCAAGAGGATTCCGGCACGAGCGCCGGGAAGTTCCGGCACATAGTGAGGTGAGAAGCGGAAGACTCGAGCGGATCTATCCGCGCGCAGTCGCGAACTCGGGAAATCGCGTATTTCCCCGGGAATCGTCCGGTTGCGCGCGGAATCGAGCGTCTCCGGCGCGATTTCGCGATAAGTGCACGACGTCGATAACTCTCCGGTCGGATATACGTCCGAGAGAGTTTACTCGAAATTCTTCTCGCCATCATCCTCTTCCCCTAATCCCGTCCGCGTCGCATCTTCAGATACGAGTGCGACGACGGCCGGTTCACTTCGCGAGTGGATCTCACGCCCGGTCCCTCCGAGGTGCACTCGATCCAGGCCGTCGATTCGCGCAGAGGCCGAGTTTACTACTTCGCTACGGCACCGGGCGAGCCAAGCCGGAGGAATTTGTATTCGGTGGCTCTGGACGCGAGCCAGAACCCGACTTGCATATCCTGCGAGCAGCATACGCCGGAAGGTGAGTCCTCGAAATCACGAGCATTGCGAATACGTGCGGAGAGAAAGAGAGAGAGAGAGAAAGGGGGAGGTAGGGGGGGGGGTATGGCACTTTTCATCAGTTTGTCATGACGAGTAGGCACATCGTGCGCAGACACGGTAACTCGGTTTCGCGAGAACGCCGACGTCGGAATATTCGGTTTAAAACACGACGCCTCGCGGGAATATTTTATACTTACGTATAAGCGAGACACAAGAACCTCTCGACTTTTAATGCCCGACTGTTTGTTCACCGAAATTCTTCCCTAACTCGTCGCATGAGGAAACCGGTAACACGAGTATAAGCGACGGCGACGCTTATGTAAACGGCGTCCCGTCGTAGGCGGCGGAAAAATTTCAGAGCCGCATCGTCGACGGCGATTCGCAACTTCATCCAGGCGATATGTACGCATTCCAATTAAAACGGAAAGATCTACCGGAAGGTTAACGCGTAGTATACCGTTGTGTTCTTATCGTTAAAAAAAAAAAAGAAGAATAATGACACCAATCGCGCATGTACAGCGCTGGCGGGGGAACTTGCGGGGAAATTTACGCGAAATTCGGAGTCACGAGCGCGATGGTGACGTGATCTACGGGACACTCGAAAATCGACGCAATTTTCTACCCCCTCGTATTTTCGCAGAGCGTCACGCGCGCGCGCGCGCGCGCGAGATGCAGAGTCCCGGTGAATTCAAATAAGAATATTCAAATTTTTTCCGCCCTAAACTTCGCACGCAAACTTATCTCCTCGTTGCTATGCAAGAAGATTCGGGGGAATCGACTTAATGCGCAACGTCGAAGGCATAAAGAGCGAGAGAGACTGAAATATTACTTTTCGCGCTGAGTTTTTCGGCTATCGGCCGGCAGCTGCGCTCCCAGATCGAGCGCTATCACGAGGAAGATTAATTCGTTCAACTATTTGCGCCGGAAAAAAATCTACATCTACATAGGGGGGATCCGATACGCTCGGTCGATTCGACCGGGTGCACCCTATATCCGTGAAAATATGACGCCGGCCGGAATTTATTTCGATCTATCTGAAAAGTAGAAAGTGCCGGGATTTATGCCTTCCGTTTCTCGGCTCGGGGTTAGCAATATAACGCGGGGCGAATTTCACGTAAAAGTACGTCCCGACATTACGTACGCACGCATCGGGAAATGAAAGTGGAAAATCGCCAAACGCGCGACAGAGCTACCTCGAGACGTGAGCGAGGAAGCAGCGAGGAGGAGGAGGGCGGCGCGAATAAATTTTATCGCGGGCAAGAGTGTGCTTTACGGCCTGTCGCGTGGTTCAAGCTCCGGCGATTTAAACGTTGCAGGGAACAAATGTGCCTACGCGTACGCGTCTTTTTCAAGCCGGATGTCGCATTACGCTCTCAGCTGCTCCGGTCCCGATTTACTCGCGGTGACCATACACGACGAGAACCATCGGCGAATCACGACGTGGGAAGATAACAAATTGATAAGGGACATGCTGTCGAAGAAATTGATGCCGTTGCAGAGAGATTTCAACGTGACCGTGAACGGCTATGATTCCAGAGTCAGGTTATTCCTGCCGCCGGACTTCGACGAGACGGAATCGTACCCCATGCTGGTATACGTGTGAGTAGATTCAAATTCCTCCGAAAGTCGCCAAACGAAGGTAACTTGAATTACCACTGTATATCGAGAATATCGTCTCGTAAGAATAAGAGATACATCGTACGTTATATAAATAACGATTGGCAGACGGTAGGGGAAATGTCTGTTCTTTCGTCCACCAAGTCTTAATCTTGTATATCCGTCTCTTTTTAAGTTCCACAAGTGCATATTAGTTCAACGAAAAAGAACAGACGTGTAATTTCACCGTAAATTTCAATGCATAAATCTCCTCACTCGGAATTGGCGAATTTCCACGTTGACGCTTGAACTCGGAAAAGTTCCGATGTCGCGTGACGATAGCCTCGAGGAAAGCGATGTCTCTCCTGCGAAAGCGAGATTAGGGTGTACATGAAATGTTTATCCACGGCAACGTTTGCCGTGTACATCGCTAATGGCAACTGCGACGTAATTATACCGGCGTGTACTATGATTGATCGGCACGCGAAGGGATTCGCAATCTACATTTAAAATTAGAGCCATCATGGATGAAGTCTGTTTGTTCGACCGATTCATACCGACAGTGCTTTCGCGTCGATCGATTCGTATCACCTTTAACGACCCTCCCTCACCCCCGTGCTTGCTGCCTCTTAAGAAACATTTGTGACGTATCGGGCTTCTTACCTACTTAGAAATTCACACCGAACGTTCGTAGCGCGAAGTTCGATAATATCGAACATCGGTGTAATATCAAAGTCGATAAAAACTATTCTCACGACAGCTACTTTTCAATTAGTCGCGTTACTTTGCGCACGGAACGGTTCTTAGCGAAAAAATTCCACGCGAACGATTCTACGTGAAAAAAAAAAAGAAAAGAAGTCAAACGTATGAAATGAAATTCTTTTCGCGCCCGAGTCTTCGCTTTTGAGGAAACTGATTTAGAAGGTCACGAGATCGCCAGCATTCTCCGCTTCCTTACGCCCGAATGTCACTTTTATGCCACTTTTATGTCACCGAGAATTTCCTGTAATTTCGGTCACACAGTTACGGCGGCCCGAACAGTGCCAGGATCGTCGACGTAGCTAAGTTCGGATACGAGCATTACATGACGACCAACAAACGCGTCATTTACGCGTGGATCGACGGACGAGGATCAGCCTTCAAGGGCAGTAAGATGCTGTTCGAGATATACAGGCGCATAGGAACCGTCGAGGTCGAAGACACGATCGCTGTTACCAAGTGAGTAGTAACGCGCATCGCCGAAGATGCCTTTTAATTCGTTCGCGACCAGTCCGTTTAGATCTTATTAGGCCCTCGACATCTACAATCACTGAAATCTACCTTCCGCGTCAAACCAACTTCGTATCTCAATTATTAATATTTCTAATAACTTCCCTCCCAGAATCCGAACGAGTTGTTAGTTAATTAGTTCAGCCTTAATTGGTTGTCTAAAATATTGTGAAAAATTTCCCCCGTTACTTTTCAGGATTCTACAGGAACGGTACAGCTGGATCGACCCGGACAGGACCGGTATATGGGGCTGGAGTTACGGTGGGTTCACCACCGGTATGGTTCTCGCGACGGACGTAGAATCCGTGTTCAAGTGCGGCATTTCAGTCGCGCCCGTAACTTCTTGGATCTATTACGGTAATTCACCATTTAGATCGGTCGTACACGCGACGTAAGGTCATCGGATCTGGTCGTAAATAATCTCCACCTATTCCCTTCTTCAAATTTTCCCCCTCAAATCCATCATTCCGTTTCTCGATATCGCTACGAGCACTTCCGCAGTTTCTTCGATATCGGTGCCAAAAGTAAATTCGTCGCGAGTTAACCGCGACTCGAGACCGGATAAAACTTAGACCATACCCGAGTCGAAATCTTGGCCCGACATTAAGTTTACTCGGCTCTACATTAAGTCTTTAATGCGGAGAAAACGGAAATGACTTCCCATTTGTAGAATCGAAGGAGCCCTGATAGTGCTTCTTTGACGCTGCAAAGGGGAGTTTAGGCTCCTGAGAGGAAATCTGAAATTCTACGTTAACTTTTCAACGAAGAAAACGGAAACAACTTCCCATTCGTAGCATGAAAAAAACGCGATAGGAGACCTTTGAAGACTTAACGTAGAACTAGAATGTTCGACTCAAGCAAGAGAGCACGTTCTCCGAGATACATTTGGACAGGTCGTCGTGGTACGCGTGCGTACGCTCGAATGGAATCTCGTCGATTCGCCTGATTCCGGCTTAACATTCTCCTCAGAGTTGCTGTCCGGTTCGTTACAGACTCCATTTACACAGAGCGGTTCATGGGGTTGCCAACCGTGGACGACAACCTAGCCGGCTACAACGCCACGGATATCTCGCGACGAGTGCGAGGGATACGCGGCAAGAAGTACATGCTGATACACGGTACCGAGGACGACAACGTGCATTATCAGCAGGCGATGGCGCTCGCCAAGTCGCTGGAGCGACGGGACATCCTATTTGAACAGGTCACGTACACGGACGAGGTGCACGCTCTCTTGCGCGTGTCCCCCCACCTCTATCACACGATGGACAAATTTTGGAGCGAGTGCTTCGGCCTGGATCGCACCCGCTGACCTGGTGCTCCGCCGCGACGAGTCGACGCGGATGAGAATCGTTCGCAGCGAGCCGAGGATTCGCTCGTCCCCGAACGCACCAGTTTCTCCGCGAAACGATCGAGAATACACTCTCGGGGATCCGTTCGGACGATCCTCCGTGACATTACGTCGACTCTCTTCTTTGTGGAGAATATTTGACGTAACGTGTCCTCGGCAACGTCAATGACGTCGGGATGTTCCCCGTGGAAATTCAGGACGACGACAGTTCCGAGATACACTCTGTATCCACGCAGATATCCTGCAGACACGTCCGAACGCATTAAAACTCGATCGTACAAAGAAATTCGCGATATGATATTGAATTTTTCATCCCCTTTGTAACGTTGTTATCCCGTTTGTGTGTTGGTTTGAAAATTTATCTTCGCACCGGTCACGGTCTTGATCTCAATGGCTCAACGGCTCCCGTCGAAGAACCCGCGTAGGAGCGGCTTGCAAAAAAGTTCCTGTTACAATTTAGTGCCAAATACGACCGCCGGTTCGTCGATGAGCCGGTCGACTGATTGAGCGAATGTTAACACGTCCGTCACTCGTAACTCGCCGTCGTTCGAGCGCTTCCACCGACGCCGCATTCCCGTGGAAATGAATTCGTCGATGCCGCGTCAGACCGGACGAAATTATCAGTGGCAGTTGTATTAAGCGGGGCTGCTGCGAACGATGGCTGTTGGCTCGACATACATACGTTGATCTGTAAGTCGGTCCGCTCGCGGTTCGGCCAGCGTGATCGCGACGGGCTTCATTAAAATTACGCGGACGGACTTAAACGAAGCAATAATTCGACAAATACTGTCGAAACGAGCGACAATTGTGACGAAATAATAAAATCTATTCATTGACACACACACACACACGCGCGCGCGCGAGCGCGCGTCCTGCGGACGTTGCGTAATTGACTTTGCGCTCCCGATCGAACTGTCGTCGTGCTTTTTCAGAAAGACGGAAAAAAGAGGAACTCGGCGTTGTTGTCCGTAGTGACAGACCAAGGCCGATTCCGCCGCCGCCGGCTTGGTGACCTGGATTTTCATATTACCGGCTAGGAAGAAACAAGCTTTGTTATTCTTCCTTCGTATCGGGCGGACTCGCACGTTTCCTCCCGTCCATCGCCAATCGCGTTTTCGCCTGGCCCGCGTCCATCCAGATCAAGTCAGTCAGTCGACTTGGACAAAGGGACTTTTGGAAAATTTAATCATTCTATCCGTCGTGTATCCGCGAGTACCGCGCGCCGAAGACGGGCGAATCCTCGGGCCGGAACGGCTCGACTCGCTGACCCGGAATCCTCGCCAGCCGGGGAGAAAAATATTTCCTCAAACATCCGAGCGAGTTTCCAGCGAGTTGGAGACTCCGTCCGGGAGATCGACGAGGATCGGGGAGGATCCTCGAATGCTTTATCGGATTTTCTCCGATCGATCCTGAACATCGTTGTTCCCGACAATCTTCAAATTCGACGCCCCGACATCTCGGAGGTATTTCTTTCTAACTACAGCTTTCTATTTATAATTTGCTCCGTGAAATTATTACTATTAATGCTGCATATGATAGTAAATGATAATGAAACGAAATTTTGGCGCTCTCGAAATATAAACGTTTCTTTCATTTTTTATACTTTCTCAACATTCCTGTCGCAGTATACTTAGAATTGAGTTATAGCACTCTTATTTTGTGCAGGGAGAAATCTTGATAGTTGAGTAATGAGATACGTGAATACAGATTTGCAATTGATCATACTTTCAACCAACAATTCAAAATAATAAATGAAAATAATTGATAACTATGAATGCCGGCCTTAGAATTTAGTAAATCTCAGAAGTGCCGAATTGTGTGTCTGATAATGTTCATTTTCTTGCAAGTTCCATCTTGCATCTGTCGACACCTTCCTTTGACTTCCGTTTAGCCTTGTTATTGTATATAGCATCAAAGTAGGAAAATAGCATATATAGTTTTATATTCTTAAACCTTAAACCTTCAAGTTCGACGGAATTTACAGGGTTAGTGCAGAACCAAAATTTCGACTGGGGATATCTCGAGATTCTCCATTGGCCTTTCAAGTTCGACGGCATTTGCAGGGTTGATGTAGAGCCGAAATTTCGACTTGGGAATTCTCGTCGTGCTTTGTGCGGTAAATTGGAGCCCGATAATAATCGCTCGATACATTAATCGGTGCATAAGCAAAATAAACGAAAAAAAAAAATATATTTATATATATCGCTACGATAATAGGCAAGCGCTCTTCTCGCGTAATAACGTTACAAACGACGCACGAACGCGCTATACATTCCCATTCTCCCGTATGTTGGCACCAAGTCGGATCTCCTGAGATCGCGAGAAAGCAATATTAACGATCAACGACGGCGTCGAATATCCACCTCGGTGGAAACTGGGCTGAGACCTCCGCCGTTCGTATACGTACATGCCGGAGGTTTAAATGGTGCTCTAATAGCTGAAGAGCATCGCGAAGGTCGCTTTGGCACGCGAGTTCGCGATACGGCAAACAGCCCGAGCAATTTATACATCTCGGGGATTGTGTTCCGCTCCTTTTTCGACGGAATCGAGGCCACCGGTCGGATATCGACGATACTTCTAATCTTACGTTCACTTCGCGCTCGATCGCAATCGCAGTTCAAGCCTTGCCGAGACGACGATTAGCTTGTTTGCATTTTTACGCCCGCTAACGACACACAGAGAACACAGATAATAAGCAATAATAAAAAGGGACGCGTGATGGAATAATGTGGACTACCGTTAGCGTACGAATTTTCGCGAAAATCGATCCGGTCGCCCCGTGGAGGACACGAAGATTGAATTGCGGCGAGCCCGCAAGGAGAGGAAGCTACGGCGACTACCCCCCGGCCGTACTTTCCTCTCCTTGTGGGCTCTAAAACAAAAGGAAAGCAGCCTATTTCCCGGCGTCGGAGGAATCCGCGGCGATACCGTCGGGATCGCGGCGGGGACGACGCGCGGGAGGCGTTCGGCGAGCTGGCCATTGTCGGCGGCGCTAGTTCTCGGCGAACAACAACAATGCGCCGTCAGCGCGCCGATCCGCCTACGCTTTTCATCGTCCGTAAATGCTATCGGCGACGTGGATAGCGATCTTCGGCCACGGGACAAATGGAGCGCGAGTACACCCGCCTAACTAATGAGATGCAACCCTTCTCCCGGCAAAAGTTTGCGAAGGAACGGGCGGTCCGCGAGAAGTAGGTTGGAAAAGCGACCGAGCCGGCGATTCGATTCTTCGATATCTTGTAAATAACTCCTCAGTGTGTCCCTTGTTTAACCAAAAAATTAGACGACCCGAGTGGAAAATTTCTTGCGATCCAATTGGGATCCCGATTTCCCAAAATAACGGCGGATTCTTGCTGGGAAATCCACGCAGCTTCCGGTCTCATAAGTCAGCGGAACGAAATGGGCGGAACGAATTTTAACATTTTTATTTGTCGCTCATTTGTCTGTTTGTCAAGTTTCTCTGTTAGTTTCTTTTTTTTTTTAAATATGTTTTATTAAAGGAAGATTAAGTTGAGGGGAACAATATGCATGCACAAGTTATTAAACAAGGTAGCATTAATATTTGTCACGGTAATAATAATATTTTGAAACTACTTTGAATATTCGGAATCCTATGTTGTACGTGGAAATATCTGGGAACATTCCTATGCGGGGGTATAATTTTTCTTGCTTACACGAACAAAAAAGCGCGGTTATGTCAATAGAATTAGCGTTGTAATTGGAATAAATCTTCCTCATTCAATAGCGATATTATTGGAATTCACACTTGAATTATTTAAGCAATTTATGGTTGTTAGTTTTAATAATGTTACTATTGAATCAAGAATGTTTATTCCAATTATGGCACCGTTGACCAATTCTGTTGGCACAACAGCATTTTATCCCGCTGTATTTGTTAGATCACTCGCGTAAATAAAATCATTATTTAATAATTTGAACATCGTGAAGGAATATACGAGAGAGAATATACGAGAATATACGAGAATATATGAGAAGAATACGGAGAGATGGATAGAATAGAAACCGGAGGGGGAGCGGGGATCCCGAGACACTTTGTACGCTTTGCGTACATCCCCGTCCCTCGACAGGTAATGCCGTTAAGCGAATCTACTCTGCCATCGTTGGTTTACGGCGACATTGTGAGCGAGAGATCCACGCGATCTCCCGCGCCCGAATAGCGTCCATAGAAAGTGAAGAATCGCGACGGATTCGGATGGCGAGAGATCGGATGTCTATGGCGCGTTCGTTTCGCTATTGAAGAGTTCTGTTACCATGAAAGCGTTGTGTTAGCGCGCTTTCGAATAAGCGTCGCTACTGTAACCAAGCAGGGAAGAGAGGGGGAGGGGAGTAGGACGGGAGAAATCCATTTCTGCCTCTATCAGCGGTGGAGTGCCGATGAATTTTTGCGAGGAAAAAAAGTCAATTGTGAAGCAGAAGTGTCAAAGCCGCTCGGGGAAAACGAAACAACGTGCGGTGTGTGTCCGTTGCTTCGCGTTTAGCGGCGCGGACGCGTACGTGCCGCGAGGCGAAAGTTGCCTCAGCGTGAAACCCATTGTCGACGGCCGTCGCTGTCTGGATCTTCGTTCCTCCACGAATTCTCGATCTCAGCCTGGCTTACGTTGCACCGATAACTCTATCCCGCGATTATCCGGCGCGCGCCCACGAAAGTTATGCAATTCCCTTCTAATAATATCAATCTCTTAATCCGCCCCGTCCGCGGAGCGTTAATTTAATGTATCGCGGCATCAATGCGCTTCATTTTCGTCGCGGCGAGACTGAAATACCCGACCATCCCCGAGGCAATCGAAATTTTCGCAGAAACTCCCAGCGCGTCGATCGTCGCATAATCGACCTATCTACCTCTGCTCGATACGTCATCGGCGCGAGAAAGGATGAGTTATCTCTCCCTCCCCCTCTCTCTCTCTCTCTCTCTTTCTCTTTCCTTCTCTATTCCCCGCCGGCGCTCGCCAACGTACGGCCGCGCGCATCCGCTCCGGATCTACTTCGAATTCGCGCAGATCGAAACTGCATTTCGATCGAGCCCGCGAGACGAATTTCCGCCAGTGCGGCCTCTCGAAAGCTCGTTATTGCCCTTTGTGCGCCCGACGTTACTCTCGAATTTATTGTATAGGACGAGCCCCGTCTAGTGGGCCGGCACAGTTGCCAAAAGCGAGCGACGATTTCGTTTTTGCGGTGAATGCAAAGGTCGAAACGGAGAGCTTTTCATTTTGCAAGGATACAAGCAGCGACAGTAATGCAGTAATGTACTTATTGATCGTTGCCATAAAATAAGTTCCTCATTAGTATGTATAAATTTCAATGAATCGTAATCGCAACGGGTAAGAAAAATATGAATTTCGAGATGAAATAATTTTCTAAAATTTCGAAAGGAGCCATTCAACAATTACGTTACACTACAAGGGGGGGGGGGGAGAATTTATTAGCCTGCGTGACGCTCTGATGATGGCAGGGAGAGGGTGAGTAAAGGCCATGGAACGTCGCATTAAATAGCATAATTAAATATGCATAAATGCCTCCGAGACTATAAAATATGCGAGATAATTAAACTTGCTTGACTTTCATATAATTAACAGATATGTCACCATTCAAAAATATGCACAGAATAAAGAAAGGTTGCTTTTAGCCAAGAAACGGAGTAAATATCGCGTATATTCACTTCGGCCACGTCTGGCCTACCGCGGTATCGTTACTCGCCTGCTCACCGCAGGTTCAAGCCGCGTAACCGAACATTTCCACGGTCTTTTCTTTCACGAGATATTGTAAGTGGCGCTTCTTACCCGGCGTACTTTCCGACCCGCTCTACGTCGCCGTTATTCGAATG